AAAAGGAGACGAGTTGACTATTTCCATTCTATATTTCTTTCCTTAAAGAAAGACACCTGAAACTAAACTAAGTGACATATTAATTACCCATGTATGGCTCAGTCCAGATTGTTTTTCTTTGTGCTAGTAGCCCATGACAGACAACAAAAGAATCTCCACCCGTGAACTAAGGCAGTCTGCTCAACTGAATTGTCTCTAGAAATAAAGAGGATAGAAAATTTGGTCAATTAGCTGCCTGGGATAGAAAATGCAATTTGATTGAAGGGAGTGTTCTTTGATTTGAATTCCAGTTTTCTTTAATACGTAGATGTCAAACATACCATTGACACATAAATAGTGGAGCCCACAGCTCTTAGGACAAACCCAACATATGCTTACAGCAGTCTGCTCAGGAAAAAGTCTCTTCATAGAGGTTTACATTCAAGCTGTTAAATGTGGAACTAAAGGATAGGGCCCCTTTGCTTGCACGAGCCATTTTGAAATATTGCAGCTGGGTGCACGTGATCTTCCTGGAGGGATTTCATCATCCTGGAGAGGAGTGTCCCCTTCTTTGGCTGTGGGGGAGGGGATTGCCTTTGCTTTCTTGAAATGATTTGCTTGGGCAGGCATCAAAGCAGCACTAATTGGAAACCACTGCAAGTAAAAACAGCCTTTCATCCCCAATTGCAGAACCTGAACTTTTTTCCTTTATTATTAAGGTTCTTTTTTTCTTAATGTAAAGTAATATGAGCTCATTATTTTTTTAATTGAAAGCACAGGAAAGTACATAAACTAAAATAACACAAATTGGAATGATGCAAGATCATGCTTAATTCTGATGAAAAGAGTCTTTCACAGTTTGACCCCAAACGACAACTGTCTACCAGTTTGAAGACTAGTCCATACTTTTTCTCAGACTATTTCCTTTTCTTAGAACATCCCTATTTCCCTTCCTATCTGTTGAGTTTGTTTGAACTTATCTTTTAGGCCAAGCTCAAAAGTTTATGTTTTCCAAGAAGCCTTTCTTAACTCTCTCAGGAAAGCTGCTAACTTCCTTGTCTGTGATGCTGCCACTATTTTGTATATAGCTCTGTTTTGGCACTTGTTCCCAATGTATGATAACTATTTACTTGTCTGCCTTTCTAACTAGGTTAGGAGCTCCTACACTCATTGGGGCCTAACCCTAACACAATGCCCAGCTTCAAGATGGTGTTGACAAATGTTGAAAGAAGTAGAGTTCTATTTAGGGGAGAATGACTTGTACCAGACCTGAAACTAGTTGATTAACTCAGGACATACTTTGTTGTTTTGTTCAGAGGTTGGGAGGGACCACAGAGCAGTATGAGAAGGAGTGGGAGTAAGCATTGATTTTGGACCAGGGAGCTGAGATCAGCTTTTGTTCTTTTCTTCTAGGTCATTTACTAGTGTTACCTAATCCATTGCCCCTTTAGGCCAAAGTCAGAGGGGAAGGAGAGGAGAAGGAAGTCAGGAAGTTGAGGGCTGGAATACATAGACATAATTTCACAAGGGTGTAGGGATATGTGACTTTCTCACAGATTAGCAGTTGGGCCATAAGTCTGGTATATAGATGTAGGATGGACTATTCAAATATAGATTTTGGGTGTGAGAAAGAAACTATTGCTCATATATTCTACCAGACAGTATACTGGATATGAAAATGACAAAGTAAAAAGTATTAAAAGGGAAGGAGTGAAGGAGACATTCAGGAGGGCAAAGGAGGGAAATCCTGACAATTAAAACGTGTTGAAAATATGAGAGTTGGAAGGGGCTATGAAGATCTTGTTTCTTCTTATTCCAATTGTGTTACTTGTGCACCTTGTTCTCCCCTCATTGCCTTAAATCTAATGACAGATATTTTAAAGGAACACTGGGTTCCACACATAGACCACCAGTTGAGTATCAAATCGCCTTTAAATTGAACTAAGCTATTTCCAAGATTAGTTGTGTGTTGCAAACTACCCAGTTGGGGGCAGACAAAACAAACAGATGACTTCTGAGTGCTACCAAAGGAATCTTGCATTTCTTTGTGTGTTGTTATTTTAATAAGGCGAAAGACTTTTCAACTCACAATCAGATTCAGACAACTTGCTCACAATCTCCACAGACTGAATATTACAATAGGGTTCCTTTGCAATGATCATACTTCTAACCACAGAGGATGGAACTCGGGCATGGATGTAGGGGGTGCTTGAGGCACATATATTTTTCTGGACAGTGTGAAATTCTGTGCAGAACACACTGAGAAATTTATAAAGGTACTGAGCTAAAACAAACCCTCCTAATAACATCAGATTGGGGGGCAGGGATAGTGCATTTAGCAAGAGAGCATCTTAATTCCTACTTTGCTCTCCCTAAGAAGGTTTGCAATGTCTATTTGAGGGAGTTCAAAGTAAGTAGATACTCTCCTCTTGTTTTGTTTTCTTCTTCTCCCAGAGAATTCACAAAGAAAGGCTCCACCTCAGACTTTAATGCTTTAGTTTCAAAAAAAGAGAGAGAAATACCATGGGGCAGGCTCAAGCTCCCAACACCCAAAGGATCTCTGTCTGACCATTTTTTACTCATCTACAAGCTTTGCCAATTTTTCCTACTATCTTTTATTTTCTCTGGGGTTTAGCTGCAAATTCAAAAGTGAATTTAAACAAAGCATCAAAGTGCCCAGCCAAAACCCTATTTATCGATTTCTTTCTTTTTTTCCTGGAGAAATCAACACCCATAGTGCTGTCCCGGGTAAGGCAAAAGTGAATAGGTCTTATAGAGTCCAAGATAGAAGCCTTGATACATCTCCTACTTATAAATGTGTCTAGATTGACAGAGTAATTTCAAAATGAGACTGAGTGTGTGTATTTTTAAAAAGCTCTGCATATGGTTCTGCTACAAATTTATATACCACTTCCTCCAGGAAGCCTCTACTATAACTCACCTGGGTAGAGGTTTTGTCTTTCCCAATAGGCTTCCTCTGTATCATTCTTTTGCTTTAGCATTTATAAAACTGTTTTGAAATTATTTTTATTTACGTATATTTCCCCATTAAACTGAGCTGTAGAACAGAGATTGTGTCTTTGTATTTTCAGTGCCTAGTATACTTCTGACACTTAACAGGTGTTTAGTAAATTTCTGCTGAATTCAATCAAGATATATATGTGTGTGTGTGTGTGTGTGTGTGTGTGTGTGTGTGTGTATACACACATACACATGCAAACATATATATGCATATATACAAACATACACAGTAAATTTCTCACTTAACATTGTTGTTAGCTTCATGGAAATTGCAACTTTAAGCAAAACGATATACAGCATATCCTCTAATAATGTGGTTTTGGGTTTTACTAAATGTTGTTATAATACTGATGAGAAAAAAATGGTTTTGTTATATGTCGTTTCAAGACTTACTCTATTTATATTCACTTCGTCCAAATATGGAAGGGGTTTCCACTAGTGAAAGATCCATTTCTTGGATGAACTGAGGCTAATTCCTCAGGTGATTCAGGCCTAGTGAATGCAATGGAGAATAATGGACAAAGAAGAGGTAGGGATTAAAGAGGACTTTGACAAATGGCCTAATTTTTTAACAAATGGCCTTGTTTTTCTAGAAAGAGCCTAAAGAACCCCTATGCTATAGGAAAATGATTCTCAAATGTTTTGATGTCAGCAGCCCTAAAGTGGCTTTAGAATATGTCCATAAAATTCCCTGAAAAAAGATGGAGTTTAATTTCCCTTTCCTTGAGTGTGGATTAGAATTAGTGACTTGCTTCTGGCAAATCAAATATGCCAGAATTTATGGTATGTTGTGTCTAAGAGTCGGTCATAAAATATATTGCAGCTACCTCCTTGCTCTTTTCCATGGATGCTTTACTCTGGGATTCCTTAGCTGGGTATGGTGGTGCATGCCTATTTCTCAGCTACCTAGGAGGCTAAGGCAGGAGTATTGCTTGAGCCCAGGAGTTCAAGGTTACAGTGAGCCATGATAACAACACTGCACTCCAGACTGAGAGACAGTGTGAGGTCCCATCTCTTAAAAAAAGAAAAAAGAAAGGAATAATTTAGCTAAAAATCTGAGATGTGAGTTATTACCTCTGAATTTTCCATATAGGCTAATCTCACCCAAAACCCTCAAAGTCAATAGAAAGAACTTAATAGAAAGAAAGCTCTTCTTGAGCCTGCGACAGGGTTGGCTACATGTGTGGTTTATTTAGGTAAGGCAATTCCCCTAGAGTTATGTTGGTTTTCTGATTCAATGTCTACCCCTTAATTGTAACCAAAATATTAGAATAGGGATGTGGGACCCTAGTTAGGGGAGAAGGGATAAAGAACATAAGAAGCAAACCTGCATTTTGTCCCTTGACTGTTGTTTTAAGAAATAGGAACCAGATCCTTCATTTTATCATCTTTTAGAGTGTGTAAAGTGTGCAGTATATGTGCATGTGTGTTTGTGTATACACGAGTGTGTCTTGTCAGCTTATCTTTGGTGAATTTAACTCTGACTCACTGTTAATAATAAGAATGGCTAGCCACAGGCCAAGCCATGGAATTGTGAGACTAGATTGTAAGTAGAAACTATTTTGCTTAATCAGTAAGGATCTTGAATAGGGAAATCCATTCCACTCTGTGCTGCTGTACTAGATATTTAAAGACAATAAATTTACATTTGTATGAGGCTTGCATATAATAGAATACCTTTTTAAAAACACTGACAGATGATAAAATTTAATTAGTCAAGTGCTCTACTCAGAAGATCTAAATAATATTTTATTTTATTTTTTAAAGATGAAGTCTTGCTATGTTGCCAAGGCTGGTCTTGAACTCTTGGGCTCAAGCAATCCACCCCTCGGTTTCCCAAAGTGCTGGGATTACAGGCACAAGCCATGGCGCCCAGTCCAAATAATATGTATTTAAGAAGCTTCATGCCAATGGTTTTTGTCCTTAAAACACAATTGCTATTGTGTGCTGAGATAGAGGGGAAACAGAAAAACAAACAAACAAACAAAAAAACCTCTCACCTTCTTCGGCTGGATAAGGTTTCTTCATGTTCTACATGAGCAACTTTTAATACTTTCTTGTCAATAAACAGGTCTTCAGGATAATAAGCAGATCTATATTGGCGTTGTTGAGAATGGGCACATAACTTGCCAATCTGAAAAAAGAAATACAATATAATTATATGATACTTTCACAGATATGATAGTAAAAACAAATTGTGAAATGCACTTCAATTTCTTTTTAAAAAGTAGCACAAAGTTATTATTATGTTACTAATACTAGTCAAAAAAGGTGATACGCTTTTAAGTCAAAGGACCATTGATGGTAAGAAGGCTGAAGACTGGGGGAAGGGGCCCATTCTGAGCACAGTCTACTCAGAGATTTTTTTTTTTTGAGTGGGAGTCTCACTCTGTTGCCCAGACTGGAGTGCAGTGGCACACTCCCGGCCACCGCAGTCTCAACCTGCTGGGCTCTGGTGATCCTTCAGCCTCAGCCTTCCAAGGTAGCTGGAACTACAGGCGCGCACTACCACGCCCGGCTAATTTTTGATTTATTATGGAGATGAGGTCTTGCCAAGTTGCCCAGGCGGGTCTCGAACCCATGGGCTCAGGGAATCCACTCACCTCAGCCTCCCAAGACGCGGGATTACAGGCTGAGTCACCGAGCCCGGCTTATACAGAGATTTCATAAGATGAAAAATATCTTTTTCTACAGTTGAAGTGTATATTGGGGAGGACCCTACACAGGCCCCATGCTAATAATATCCTTCCATGGAACTTGCTGTTTATATGTATGAAGAAGTTCACAAAATGGAATTGGAAAACTTAAGAACTGATGCAGGAGATGGAGGGTATGAGAGGTGTGTGTGGAGGAGCCAGTTAATAGAAGAACAGCCTTCCATGCACAGAATGCTCCTGATTCTTTTGAGTATTTTGTTTTAAGACCCAAGCTAAGGTATTCTGAAGAATATCAGTGTGGTTTCTCATCTGGCTTTCCTAAAGATGCCCAAGGGAAGAAGGCAAGTCAACCAATTAATCGCCAGTGTTGTCAAGCTGTGAATCATATAGTAAATAAACCCAGGACTGAGAGTATTAAAGAATATAGGTGCTCAAGAGAATCAACCAACCTTCCTTCCTTCCTCCCTCCCTCCCTCCCTCCCTCCCTGTCTCCCTCCTTCCTTCTTTCCTTCCCTCCCTCCCTCCTTCCATCTCTTCCTCCCTCCTTCCAGATCTCTCTCTCCCTCCTTCCTTCCTCTTTCCCTCTCTTCCTCCCTCCCTCCCACTTTCCCTTCTCTCTCCTTCCAATTCTTCTCATTCATTCATTCAAATATATGTATTGGATACCTCCCTCTAAATCTTATCCTTTTTTCACTAATGTAACAATAATTTTTTAAAATGGCATCAGATTTCTTGCTTAGCTTCATTCTAATCGATTTCTTTGGTTAAAGTATTTATAGATTTGCTTTTTAAAAAAAAATTTCAGACAAAAGACTAAATAAACTTCCATATAAAGAAATATGGATAGTGACCTTTTTTTAGGAGGAACAAGGGTCATGGAACATTGGAAGGTGGGAAAGTAGGATTTATTGAGAAGACAGCAAAGCTCCCACAGTGGGAGGGGATCCGAGGGGGTTGCCCAAATATTAACATTCTTATATGTTTCTTTTGTGCCAGATATTATGCTAAATATTATCATTCCCATATTATAAAAGAATAAATTGAGGCTCAGGGAGGTTAGATGACTTGCCTAAAACAAATCAGCAGTGGATCCACTTATCTAACTGAGCCCCATTTGTCTAGCCTTAAGACCTATGCAATATTGCCTCCCTAGAAGGTGATGCTTGATTTCCACTTGCCTATGTTCTAGATTTTGGGGGGAGAAAAAAAAAAGAGTTTCTAGTTTCACAAACATAGCCAACCAACATAGCCAAGGTAAATATATAGATTGTAATTTTATTTTTTGAGATCTCGCTATGTTGTCCAGGCTGGACTTGCACTCCTACACTCAGGTGAACCTTCCTGCATCAGCCCCTCCTGAGTAGCTGGGACTACAGGTATGCATCACCACACCCAGCATAGATTGTAAACTTTAGGAAAAATATTTGAAATATCTTATTAAGACAAGGGTTATATCTTTGTCACTTCTGTACCTCCATGGAATTCAGACTGGATTTTGTGCACTGTTGGGTGAATTCATTGAATTGAAGGAATCTTCTATTATCAGGCTTAACAAACCACTCTACTTATAAGCCATGGGCTCTGTGTGATAATCTCAGTTTCTGGATTTCTTGAGATGGCCCTGACGGCATTTACTAAGTTATCTATCTATATATAAAGGCATAAATGACATGTAGTTTGTAGAACTTTGGAAGAATTTCCATATAAATAAATTTCAAATTAGAGAAAAATCAAGAGTCAGAGTAGTATCACCTTCGGTTATAAAAGACAGTACCTATAGCTTCATATTCAGACTAGCTCTTCTCAATAGTTTATCTTAATGGAAAGAAAACAAAAGCTGAAGACACTTGAAAACATTCCATTTGGCTTTGGAATGTATGATACTGAATTTTTCAGATGTGCTTATGTACTGCTCTTTGACTTGGGCTAATATTAACTTGAAAGGAAACATCAACATTCTCTGAATATGCCCTAACTGGAAGCAGTCTGGGTGGGTGCTTAAGGCCAGGGGATGCTTGGATGGATTGAGGAGTGAAGTTCTGATCACTTCTAACGTGTACGATGCAGATACAAATAATTGTGGGCACAACTGTCCGTTATGATCACTTTATATCTATAGCCATAGACTTGCTTACTTTGTTACACTCCAGATGAAATTTCATGGAGCAATACCTTGATTTTTGTTCCATAAATATCTAAATATTATTCTGTGAACATACTTCAATGTGAGAGCTTATTTCTCCTGGATCAAAGTATTCTCAGCATATTTAGGAGCACAGGACACATTCTCTTAACCTACACTTGTTCCAAATCCAGCACCAAAATAAAATCTTTCACATATCTCTCACAGTAACTAGTCTACTTTGCAACCCACAGCTGTGAAATCTCTCTCCCCATTGAAAGTCAACCCTTTGTATCAGTGAATACTAATTGGACCACAGCTAGACTTTAAAGTTTTTAATGCCCCACCCCGCCCCGCCCCAACGTACTGGAAAGGGTTGATGCTGAGGTAAAAGTAGGAAGGTTAAGAACAAATGAGAATGTAGCCAGTCTGCAGTCCGACCTTTCTTCCCAAGCCACCCAATGTGGCATTATCAAGCAGGCTTTCCAAGGCTCTGTGTGGGGTAAGAGGCAAACAATGGTGTCCTGCCAATACTTTCACCCCCCCATCTGAAATGTGCCACATCTTATCAGACAAGCTGTATTTTCTTCCACAAATCTACCATGAAGCAAATTCTTCTCATAAACAAAGCATGCGCCAAATATATCCTCCCTTTGGGTCCTTCTCCCCACATCTTTCAGCTCCACACTGTGTAAGCTGTAGGTGAATATTATGAGCTTATTTTGAGAAGTGGACACTAAAAGAAAACACAATTTACAAAGAGATGCAGCATTCACATTAAAGTCCTTTCAGCCTCACACATGGGAAACATCAGGCAATGCTAGGAAGACTGTGTCTTATTCTTCAGCTGCACTCACTAAAAAAGTCAGCCTCAAGTGGCATTTAAAAAATCAGTATCCTGCCCAAGAGTTTTAGGCTCTTAAATGAGAAGTGCAATCCAATTTCCTTTCACTGACTAATGTACCTAGTCAAGGATGCTGCTACTTTTAAATTTGGTTAGTTAGAGTGAATTTATTGGATAGGTGAGTGTCTCTACCAAAAGACCTGGAGTATAACACCTTTTTATTTTCCATAAACTATGATTCCTAATTTATGTGCCAGATCTGTGGCAGAAAAAACAATAATGCTTTGAAGTGCTACAAGTCCTGAAATGGAAGAAGAAGGCAGGGCCTCTGACCACATCCAGGCCAGCAAGTCATTCTGGTAACCTTAGCACCATTCTTTTTCACCAGGGTCCAGAAACGTTGTCCTTGTACATACATGAGGAAAATATAATGCTGGCACCTAGCAAGGTATAGATAAGGCAGAGCCCAGTAGGCTGAGCATAGGAAGACCTGGCCTACAATCCCACTTCTGCCTCTCATGAACAGCAGAACTTCTTTCTGATCCGGCTCCACAGCTTTACTACACCTGTAACTCTAGCCTTATACAAAGGAGGAAGATAGGATATTTGAAGTGCCATATTTTATTCCAAGCTCCCTTGAAAAACCAGGTGAAAATTACTTTCTGAGTAGAATATGTTATTGTAGGGCAGGAAAATTTTATTTTCTTGACCCATGGCTGAGGCACCAGTAATAAAAGACAGATTAACAAGAAAAAGTGTACACATATGTTTAGTATAAGTTTTACATCACATGGGAGCCTTTAGAAAGGAAGACCCAAAGAAACATGGAAAGCTATGTATTTTTATGCTAAGTTTGATAAAGAAGTGGATGATGGTTGAGAAGCATAATTGAACAAAAACGGTATCATCTAATGGTAATAAACCTGGGGAAACATAGCCAGTGTATTTGTTCAGATTCTTCTCTGTGACCCTGTGTGTTCAGAGATAAGGATGTTTCTTTCCTCTGAGTGAGTAGAGGGTGGGAACCTCACACATAAAGGTCTTATGACCTGCTTCAGAAGAGGGTCAGTTAGGTTTTATGGGCTGTTTCAGGGGAGAAGGTGTAAAGGGAAGGTGAGAGTGACCTTCCTGCTTCCACTGTCTTTTCAAATGTCAAGGTGCCATACTTTGGAGTGGTGTGTCCTGAACCCCATTATTATGAAAGGATTTGAAGTTGTGCAAAGCATTTAGCATGATGCAGTTCACACCTGCACCCCATAATGGACGTGTCAAGAAATCTAGACACTCCATTGGTTAAAATCTAAATATATTCTTTATCAGGCCCCCATGTGATATTGGTTCTGGGAACTCTCAAGTGACAAAAAATTCAGACTTGATCTTTCACTCTAGATCAGTGGACCCCAACCTTTGTAGTATCAGGGACTGGTCTTATGGAAGACAATTTTTCCATGGACTGGGTGGGGGTGGGTTCAGGCTGATTTAAGTGTATAACATCTATTGTGCAGTTTCTT